CCTTGGAAATCATTTTAACATACTTTATTAAAGTATATTTGTTCATGTATGACTATACCGATGTGAACGTCTCCCAGATTAAGACATAAAACATGTTCATTATCCCCCAAATCCCCTTATACTATTTTAAACCAATATTGATTCCAGAGATAACCATTACCTTAACTTCTTTCATTACAGATTAGTTTTGCCTATTTTTTGAACGTCATAGAAATGGAATAGTACAGCATAAATACTCTTTTACTTGGGTGTAAGTTATTTATGCAGCTCAATAGCTTCGTACTTGACTCACGTTGTGTTTATTTGTAGTTTGGTCCTTTTTATTGCCGAGTAATGCTCCAAAGATAACCAAGCAGCTAGTAAGCATTTGAAAAGTTACTCATTATGTTAGTCATCAAGGAAATTGCATTTAAAACCACACTGAGATGACAGAATATACAAATATATATCTATGGTGATAACGAGAAGTGACACTCTCCTACATTACAAGAAGTGTAAAACTCCAAGCCCCTCTGAAAAACTATTTGGCAGTTTCTTGGAAAATTAAACAGTCTGCCCCATGACCCTGTGCTTTCATTCCCAGATCTAGACCCAAGAGAAATGAGTGCATAGTCACACAATATATTAAATGTTCATAGCAACTTTACTCATATTGGCCCCAAATCAGAAGCAATCAAACGCCCACCCACAGGAGAATGGGTACCTGCAGCATGGGATGTTCACGGGCCCATTTCCTGAGGGTGTGTGGGGTGCAAAGCACGCCCTTCGCTCTTGTCATCTCTTCCCTGAGTGGGTGTGACTCACTTTTCTGCAGGACCCCATTTCCGTCCTGGCTTCCTCTGGACACAGGGAGGAAGCCCTGGACACTATGCTTGTCCAGTACCAGGCATGAGCCCTACCTCCTCCGAGGCTGTCACACTAGATGCTGGGCCACACTGCATTCAACAAACGTCTGATTTTATAACCACTTCCTGAGTAGGGTGCTACGCCTTGAGCAGACAACTCAGTGGTCTCTGAGGAGGAGACTGTGGCTCAGGGCTGGATTCTTACAGTCAGAAAGACTTGTACTTGAGTCCCAAGTCTTACCAGCTGTGTGCTTTTGAGCAAACTTGGGTCTTCTAATCTGTGTAAATCCACTTACAGAATGCAAGCAAGAATCACAGTGCCCCCAAATGCGCTCTAGCAACTGAATGATAGGATGCATATGAAATGTGCGGGGCAACGTCTGGCATTTAGGAGATTTTTAATCAATGTTATTTGCTATTATTATTATCATCATTATTAGTATTATTGATGTTCTCAGTCTAGTAAGAAGAGAGAGCAAGTCACAACTAATACAAATGCAAGGCAGAGAGGTACTGGAAGTAAAATGTGCTTTGGAAATATTAAAAGAGATAAAAGATTAATTTACACTAGAAAATTCTGATAAATTTCTTACAAGATTTACAGAGCTATGAGTTGTCAGTTTAGGAAAGACGATCAAACAGTACAATAAGAGGACCCATAATGAATAGAAGAACAGCATATTTGAAACCTCACAATCTTAGGCTTCAATCTAGGCTCATCCCTTTACTTAGCCATACAATTTTGGACATGAACTTTAACCCCTCTGAGCTTGAATTTCATCATTTTTAAAGGATTACAATTCTTATTTCAAATGCATGTGGAGAATCATAAGGAATGTCTAACACCTAGGACAAGGCCAGTTACTCCAATGCCTGAATCTTACTAACTGAACAAGAGCAGACAGCCTCAAGGGTGCATATCTGTCTTTTGGGGTGACACTGTAGGGACTGTCTCTTCAAACAGACATCACAGCCAGATGACACTTGCATTTCTGACTCTAAACTGGTTACAGGTCACTTCAAGAATTTAGGTGTCCTTTCAACCAGGAAAAGGAAGACACATGTAAAAATAATTGAATAATTCTAGTGTTTCAGGGCTAAGAATCCAGTTTGTGAAGTTACTCTTTCCAAACCCCCCAGTAAAGAACTTAACATCAGCCAAAAATGTGGGACGTCAAACCACAACAGTTGCGAATCTGAGCTTCTCATTCCCATTTTTGACTTTTTAGTTTTTGCTGAAGAGAAAGCAGAATGAGGAGCCCACAGTGAGAGCAAACCCCATGAAAACACTGTGCTCTGTGTGGGGTTTGCACTTTACCCTAGCAGGTGTCTAAGGCTCCCGACCTCAAACACAACCAGTGCTGGGCTGCTTTTGCACGACCTGCAGCCAGCACAGGAGACGCCGACCTGTGACCCTGAAGAGATGCCTTGTGTGCTTGTCAGTGAGCCACCTGAGAGCATCTGTCAGACCCCCCACCTGCCAAAAACTCGTTTCCCTTGCCCAGCCTGACCTCTACTCAGCACACTAGGCACTGCCCTCACCTTGTGCAGGGACCAGGCCAAGTGTTGATTTCATGTTTACCCGGATGGCTTGATACTTTGGGCAAATGACCTAAATGTCCCATGCTATTATGAGACTCTGGGTGGGAAGTAGTGGTCGGCTAACAACAGAATTGTCTGTGGAAACCACAGGAGAACGTCAGCCTTACTTCATCAGGAGGCGATGTTGGATGAACCTCAGCTGCCTGGGATTCGCTTCCATCGTCCTCTTCTTTGCCTTTGTTCCATCTCCCTCACCTGTTCATCTCCCCCACCCATCCAGTTCTCTTGCCTCCTATGAGCCCCGGGACTCCAGATCTTGCAGAATCAGCTCCTAGGCTTCCTTGCTGCTGCCTTTCTCACTAACTAGATAATGGGATCTTTCTCCCCAACTCCCTCCCTGCTTTCTTATTAGCAGTGATTGCCTCCCTCTAACCACAAATTCTGTCAGGTGACCCCTGATCCGCAAGTCCAGCTTCTCTGGACTCCACAGTACTATTTCCTCTCCCTGCACATTCACTGGATAGTAGCTTCTTACTGCTGCTCCTTTCCAGGTGCCTCAAAGTCTGTGTTAGCTTCCTCCTCACGCTGCCTACTGAGCCCCGGACACAAACATCTCTGATACCATCACTGCCAGATCACCCAGCCCAGGGTGATTGTGTGCTGATTCCCCGCGTCAGAAACTAAGTGCTCCACCAACATGCACACACCTGGCACTGACAGTATGTCCAGGGGAGTACTGTTTCCCAGATGAGATAGCAGATTTAGCAGTTTTTAAAGTCTCATCCTAGGAACCCAACCACTAAGGGCAGAGTCAGAATGCAGGCCCAGGTCTCTATTCTCCAAAGCCTATGTGTAACCATTACCAATAGCTCTCAGATACAGTCCACACTGGAGTCACTGAAGTGCTTATTAAAAATTCAGACTCTGGGGCCGGAGATTTAGTTCAGTGGTTGCACTGCCTGCCTTGTAAGCCCAAGGTCCCAAGTTCAATCCCCGGTACCAATAAATAAATAAATATCCAGATCCTGGGAATCCCACACAAAGAGCTTTTCTGAGAAAATCAACTCACGATCTCAACTTGAGCAGTGACATCCGTTCCACGTTGATCTCCAGCCCAGGAGTCAACTTCCTGGAGCGACTAACAACCACGGCCGCCAGCCCTAGCCCCTGGCCACGCTGCACCGCAGGAATTAGCAGTGCCAGTGGGACTCTCTCCCTCCCCAATCTGAGCAAAGGTGCTGAGGAAATGAGTGAAGAGAGGAAGGAGAAGAGACAACCCATAAGGAGAAGCAGACCGAGAGAGCGCGACACGGCGGCTTTGACCTGCAGCAGTGGCAAGACTGCGACCTCCGTGTGCTGTGTGATGGCTGCGACCAGCTTCTCTGGATCTCCGTCCCTCTCACTCGGCAGCTGACGTGACGGAAGCAGTGTGGGCCATGTCTTCTGTGAATCAGACAGCGCAGTCTACACCGAGGCACGCCCGGCTCCGGGAGGAAGCAGCCTCCACCCCACTCTCCCAGTTCCGAGACCTGACTGAGCTAAAGAGTCTCCATGCTGGCCGGATAATGGCCCAGAGACTGTTGTTTCGCCCTCCCCTTATCTTCAACAGGGAAAACTGCTTAAACCTGAAATGCTTTTAAGATCTTAGAATATCTTGCAGGCATCTGTTAACCATCAACGTGTGGCTGCTGAATACGTGACAGCTGCCACCAGTGCGAATTAGCAGACCATGGGCCTTTGCCACCTGACTGCAAGCTCTGAATGTTAACTACCCCTGTATCCTCTTATAAGACCTCAGGCCCTGAGCTAGCGCCTCTCTGAGCTACCCGGCTCCCGGAGTGCCGTCTGGCCAGACTAATAAAGGTTTGTTTCATTTCCAACTTGTCTGCTGTGCTCCTTCCCAGGGATTCTCACGGCTGTTGAGCTCCTCAGAGCAGTTGGTAAGGCTCTTGGTCTTACACTGTTCCCTCTTGCGTGCTGAGCCAGCTCCCACTACAGCCGGGGCGATCGTTCCAAATTGTAAACGTAACTTCATCAACCCTTGATTGAGGCCCACAAATAACTTCCTCTTATTCTGACACAGACTAAGACTCCCCTGTTGAGGCCTACAAGTGCCTGTGTGGCATCTTCCGCTGCCAGTAGGCCCGGCCCCTCCATCACGCTGGCCTCCCGGTCTCTCTGATGTATCTTGGCTTGCTCTTGCCCTGGGGCTTGGCACAGCTGCCCTTCTCCTGCAGCGTGGGCCCCCAGCCCTCACTGGTCCACCCCTTCTCACGGTCAAGTGTCCCTTCCCAGGTGCTCCCTGGCCTCCCCACTGATGCGGATCTCACAGTGTCTGTCTCACACAGACCTGTTCGCAGGGACACTTGTGTAATTTCTCGGCCTGGGTCTGATCTTGCTCCCTGTGCTTCCCGGGCACCTTGAGCAGTGGCGGGCCGCAGGAGGCATTCACACATTTGTTAGACGTACGGATGATTTCACGCTATCCATGCTAGCAGTGGGCAGAAGTTCTACAAGTGCCGCTGTGTGGTTGTCCTGGAGTGAATGTCAACAGCAACAGTTGGCGAGTGACTGTTGCTTAGGAAAAGCCAACATATGACAGGGCAGCAACACATGGGAGGCTGCATGCACAGCACCCGGGACCACGCAGTCCACTCAGAAGGGTGGCCTGGTTCTTCTGTGGCCCCCACATCTGCCTTAGCACCTAGGAAAATGCCCAAAAGGTCAGTAGTGCCTTGCTTTCCTTTCTATTGCATTTTATTTACACTTGTGAGTGCATAGTCAGAGTTTGTGTAAGCAGCTGAGTAGTTACGGTATTGGGTCTGGCACCTGTTTCGCACCTGAATCCATGTCTAAATTGAATAGTAAAAACAGAACAAGTGTACTGCTTTGACTACAAACAGAAAAGATGACACAACCAAGACAAATATGTTTCACTACCTTTTGAGAAACATTTGCAAATCATGCTTGGCAATGGTTTTAACTGTAGAGCTTTCCAAATTATTCATGATGGAGGGAAATTGTTTCACATTATTCAAGTGTATAAAATTAGGTCTAATACATGAAAAACTTGCTTCATCATGTAGTTCCATTGAGGAGAATGATTTTAGTTCCCAAAACATGTTTGGTGACTAACAAGTACTCTGGTAGGCAAGCGGGGAGTGTGGAGATGAACTGCCTTGCCCTGGCCTCTTCGGGGCCTCACACACTAACGGACGGGACAGAGGAACAATCACGGGGCAGAAAACACTGAATGACACTGCAGCGCACACTGCTAACAGTAAAAACACAGCACACCTTGTACCTAGGAAAGAGATGATGACAACGCAGAGGCTTTAGAAAATCAGACAGGCCAAGACGTCACAGAGTCCAGCTTTCTGATTCTACAAGTGAGAGAAATGGCCCTCAAGGAGGCCGTGCCCGCGCTGGCTGATGCTGACCAGGTCGTGAACCAACGGCCCTTTAAGGAGTTGGCACGGGCGTAATTGAGCTGTCTGGCTCTCACTGGCTTTCTTCACAATTATTCCAGACTTTAGGGGTTAAAAAATCAAGCACACTTTGATTTGCTGTTTCTAAAGGACCGAGAGCCACTACTCTGCCTCTCGTCTGACGCCTTTCCTGTCTCTTTCGGACTCGCAGGTGAAATCATTTCCCAAATGCAAACATGATGCCCATTGCCCTGGTGTATCAGGTGTCACCCTCCAGAAGGACCCCAAGCCTCCGCGCTGGGCCCTGGCCCTTGGCGTCAGCCTTATCTGCCCTCACCACGCCCTTCCCTCTCCGGGCTCCAGCCCCACTGTTCTTTCTGATTCTTCACTCAGGCCACACTTTCTCCCACTTTAGGCCTCAACATACACCATTCTCCGCTGCATGCACCCTTCCTTCGCTCTAGACCTATTGATTCACAGTCCCCCGACTGTATGAGGGGAGTCTTCCTCTGTGGCTTTGTGCTCTTCCAAGCTCTTAATCACCTGGCAACACAACCGCAGGGAAGGCAGAGATATGTGGGCCAGGCCAGCCATGCTGAGCCCCTTCCTCACTCTGTCCTAGCAAAGGACCTGGGCAGGCAGATGGCTGCTCCCCCAGAACACTCAGTGAATAGCTACAGAAAAAAAGATGCTTTTGAAATCATTGCATTGCTTTGCTTTGGATGTTAAATCAATACCCAAACTCCCGGAATCATTATGTCTCTTTTATTCTGTTGGCAGCATTTCAATATCCAAGCAACTGGCTTCAGTAAAAGGTAAGGCAGGGGATGACTGGGACGTGTCTGTGCCCCACCATGACCGCATGCCAGAGTCAAAGGCAGTAGGACAGCAAAACGTGCGGGGTGGGGCTGGGAGGGACCTGCGTACAGCCCAGGGAGCCGTTCATGTGGACCTGGGAGCTGAGATCCAGCGTAGGGTGGGTGTGCCACGCGCGGACGCCCATCAAAGGCAGAGCTGGGATGGTGCCGCAGATTGCCTCACTCCTGACGCGGCGTCCCCGCCACCCCGTTGTTTCTGCCTGGAATCCTCGGGGTACCCAGAGCAGGACCATAATTGTCATCCAGCTCACAAACGCTCAGCGGAACTCAGGGTCGTGGGCTTCTGACTGCCTCTATTTACCCTGGGAGTTCATTATAGGAGCAAAATCTCCCTAGAACTAGCAACACTGCCATGGCAATAACAATGCAAGAAAAACGCTCACACAGCTGGGTCACCTCACCAAAAACGCAAGGCTGAGAGTGTTTATGGTCACAGGCTCAAGCAGACTGTCACAGGGAAGGTGCTCTCCTCCCACACAGCTGGCCGCCATCTCCAGAGCAGGTTCTTCAAGGCTTACTTAAATAAGTCTCCATCTTGGTGAAAATATTACTTTTATACCGTGACAACACAATGAATCTCTGATTTGTTTCAAAATTATTTATTATTAAAGTAACATGCTGTGCTTTACTTCATTATTATACGAGACCACAATTTTCTTTCTTTTTATTAAGGTCTGTTTATTTGGGGAAACTGTACATGTATATAATATATCTTGCTTATTCTGATCTCTTTACCTCCCCCTCCCCAAATCCTCTTCTCTATCTCCAAAAAGTCTGCTTTTTTTGTTTCCTGCCATCTCTCTTTTATTTTACTCATTTCTTTATTTATATTTTGTTTCTCATACAAGAGTAACCATGCAATATCTAACATTCCGTGTCTGACTTATTTCACTTAGCATTATGGTCTCAAGTTCCATTCATTTCCCTGCAAATAATATGAATCCATGCTTCTAAGCAATATTCATTTGTGTGTGTGTGTGTGTGTGTGTATATATATATGTATGTATATAGGAGATATCTATATAGATATCACACTTTATTTACCCATCATCTGTTGATGGGCATAGAAGCTGTTTCCAGAGCTTAGGTGTTGTGAACTGTGCTGCTGTGAATGGTCTGTATGTATTACTGTAGTATGATGTCTTTAATCCCTGCAGTAACATACCCAGGAGAGATGTGGCTGGGTCAAATGGAATTTCTAGTTTTAGCTTCCTGAGGTATCACCACGCTGATCTCCGTAGTGCTTGTGTCTGCTTTTATTCCCACCAACAGTGGGGAAAGGTCCCCTTCTTCCTATATCCTCACCAGCATTCCTTGCTTTTTCTTATCATAGCTGACTGGGGTGAGAAAGAAACTCAACTGTTGTTTGGATTTGCTTTTCCCTAATGGCTACAGATGGCAACTACTTTCTCATGTAGGTACGGGCCCATTTGCACTTCTTCTTTGGAGAAGTTTCTATTCAGTTCATTTTCCTGTGCTTTGATTGGGTCGTTTGTCTGGAAATTAATTCTTCCCGTCCTTTCTGTGCTAGTCCTCTGTCAGAGAGTAGCTGGCAAATTTTTTCCATTCTATAGGTTGTCTTTTCACTCTGTGGATTGTTTCCTTGGCTGCACAGAAGCTTTTTAATTGGATGTAATCCCACGTGTTGATTCTGATAATATTTCCTGTGTAGTCAAGTTCTATAAAGAACGTGTTTGCCTGTACCTGTGGCCTCAAGCGTCTCATCTGTGTTAATTCACACAATTTTGGGTGCTTTTGAGACATACCCCAGCACATATTTAGCCAGACTTCTCCCTCTGGGATTGGCTGTACCTGTATCTCCCTTGCCCCATTTCTTACACCGAACTCCTGAAACTGGACCGTTGCTGCACAGTTATTCCCGTGAGGTCAGAGGATCGGCCGGGCTCGTTTTCTATTCAGTGATAGGTAATTCAAGTGTTACTCACTGAAATCAAACATAAACCGTGGAACTACACTGACAATGTCTCTGCAGGCTGCTTGGCTTGTGACCTCCGGGGACTGGGGAGTAAGGACGTGGGTACACTCAGGGTCAGTTTGCAGTGAAAGTTTGAGAAGTACCAGAGTCCTGGGACACCTACTGGCTAGAGAGCAGAGAGCAGAAACCTTACTAGTTCTTGGCTGTGCCATATGCTGCCCATACAAGCTTGGGTAAATGGCGGCACTCCTGTAGCTCTGTAGTTTTGTCAGAAAGTAGCTAATATTGGGAAAAGTTCTAAAATGAAGTGATGCTGACACTTTGCCGTATCAGTGGTGCTGTTTCTATGACGCTATTCTTTAGGAGCTGTTCATATGAAGTATTTCATATTTAGGGCTCTGTGTTCCAGGGTGGTGAGGAAGAAGGGACGGAATTGCTCTGGGCTTCAGAAAGCTCTGTTTAGCACATGAGCACAAGGCCCAGGTACACCAGGCCTGGGAACAAATGCAAAGCTAACTGAGGTGTCATGACTCCCTCAGAGCACATGGCCTAGAAATGCAATGTCTAATATGGTAGCCTCCAGCCATGTGGAGCTCCTGGGCACAGGAAAAATGATTATTTTGAAAAGCAATAAAAAAAAGTAATACTTAAGAGATAAGTAAAAATCTCAATTACTTGGTTAATTGATTGCCTTTTGAGATGATAAATTTTTATTAAGCTTAACAATATTAAACAGAGTTCATTCTCGAGCCTCTTAAATGCAAGATCATCACCATAAGGACATGAAGAAGATGCAGGCAGTGTGCCCGTCCACCTCACACACACACCTCCAGAAAGACAGGGCAGGACCTGAAAGAAATATTCCTGTCTCCTTGTGTTTTGAAGAGCAGGACAATGATAGGTGATCAAAGACACCCAGGGTTTGGATGTGCAAGGGTGGAGGGAACAAACAGCTAAGCATGGACAAAGAAAGAGTTAAAAAGTAAAGGCCAAAAAAGCAGGAGATTTTCTGAGGCTGGGGTTTGGGGGAGATGCAATGTCAGCCACTGGTCAAGCACGCAAAAGTCAGAAGAGGAAAGCACTAGTCAAAGCCAGTGTAAGGTAGAGAACCTGAGACCAGGAAGGAAACCCAGGAGGAATAAGATGAAGACACAGCTTTCACAGCCATTTACTCAAGAAATATTTGTGAAGCACTCATTTGTGCTACAGGTTCAACAGAAAATAAGACAAGCAAAAAAGATCCCTGTGTTGGTGGGGTGTCTCAGTCGTGTTCCTCATCACTAGGACAAAATACTCAACACCCACACTAAAAGGAGGAGAGGTTTATCTTGGTTTATATTTTAGAAGTCTCAGTCCTTGCATGGATGGCTAGCTCCAGGTGAAAGAGGCACAGTGGAAGGGCCTAGGCGGAAAAAAAGCTGCCCAGGTCATGGCTGGCAGGAAACAGATAGAGAAGGAGCCCTAGAGGGAGATAAATACTTCCAGGTCACACTGCCAGCAACTGTCACCTTCTGCCCAGACCCCACCTCCAAAAGCAGGCTCAGCCCTGCACCCCACGTTCCCAGCACTTGGAAAAGCCCTGTCTAGCGGTGTACAACCCTTTGGAGAGTGTATTTTCCCCGGTCTTTTCCTCTCAGGTGCTTCTCCTATTCTCTGCTTCCTCACTGCCATTATTAGAGCGGTTCTCCTTGTCAGGATGTTCTCACCTTGGAACCAGATGACCTGGGACTGAAACTAGAAGCCAAAACAAACCTCTCCTCATTGAAGTTTTATGTGTCAGGTGCTTTGCCCCAACCAGGGAAAGATGACTAACACACACTTTATAAATATTTGTTCAGTAAGTGAATAAAGTTACAGCTCAGAAAACCGATACTTAGAGAGGTGAATGCTTTCCCAGGTCACACAGCAAGCTGTGGGCAAATCTCATTCTAAGTCTATGACTTCTGATTGTACTAGAGGAACTGTTGTTCCTGTCTGTGGTTTGAAGATGCAGCATCGGACCCTTGGCACGTCCCACTCCCAGGTAGGGTAAAGGCCGAGGACTGGGTCACATGGCACACACCCGACAAACCTGCTCCCCATCGGTCCTCGAAAGAGATAGCCCATGTCTTGGAAGTTACTGTATTCCAGGATCCTTCATCACACATTTCTTCTCCCACAGCTTTGAAAAAGAGCTCAGACCTGGAAAAAGCCATTGCCACTGTTGCTTTGATTTTCAAAAACTCTTCTGATCCCGATGGTAAACTTGGAAAAGCTGCTGCAAAAAATCTGTTGCAAGCCCAATTTGGGAATTTCACCAAGGTAAGAGACACAGGGCCACACCATGAGGGCTGGCCCAAGAGCCATTGCGTTGCTTGGATCAACAAATATTTATTGATCACCTACTCTATACCAGGCAATGAGCTGAGCACCAGAGTTCATGCAATGTACACGCTAACAATCCGGTAAAGAAATAGGCTGAAAAAGTGATTAGAAATGTTTAAAGGACACGAAGGAATAGGGCAAGCAATGAGAGGACAGAACAAAGGGGCCATATTGGGGCAAGCGGTCAAAGAAGGACTCCTGGAAAACTGCGATATAGCTAAGAACTGAAGAGTCATAGTTCACTAGGCGGGAAAAAGTGAGAACGGAGTCATCCGAAGCAGAGGACGGTGTCTGCTCAGCCCACGGGCAGGCTGAAGACTTGAAAGGTAAGTTCTGGGTGCAAAGGTGGGGGAATAAGCCATCATGAGGGATAAGGCTAGAGGTCAGGAGAAGGGACATTTACAGCCAGAGATCAGGGCAAGGCCAGAAGCGCTTTCTAAGTCAAAGTCCAAGTCCAAGAAACTATATGACCAGTGCCCAAGTGAGGCACGGGGCGGCAAAGGAGTAACTGTGGAGAATCAATCCAAACAAAAGAGGATGCGGGCCTGGGCTAGAGTGCTGAAGACAGAGGAAAACAGGCAGACATGAGAGACATTTGGAAAACAGAATGAACAGAGTATGAAAATTAAATGGCTGTGAAAGTTGCAATACAGGAGAAGCAAATGCAGTAGTGATACCCCAGTCTCTAACTGAGGGGAGAGGTGAGTGGTGGCTCCTTTCCCGGAAAAGAGAACCCGGAGAAGGAGCAGGTTTGCAGTGGGAGGGAGGGAGGAGGTGATGACTCCCAAAAGGACAGAGAAGTCCATTTTGAGATGGCCATGAAACTTGCAGGTGGCAAAATGAAGACAGCAACAGGAAGCGTGAGTTGAGGGTTAGAACAGATCTGCATTTGAAATACGGTACTAAGAGCTGGGAGTACACAAAGAGCCACTGGTCTCCAGGGCTAGCCCAATCGCCTACCAGTCCCCTCTCTGACTTCAGATACATCCCCAGTGTTTCTCCTACATCTGCCTGCAACATTTCCCTTGAATGTTTTCTCTGTATCTTCTCTGTACTTAAATACATTTATTTATAAGGATACTTTTAAATGTTAATTCAGTGGATAAAAGTGGAAGATCATAGTAAAAGAATAAATGGGTGACTAGTAATTCTTATTCAATATTTATTCTTACATTGTCTAAAATTGCATTCGACCTTCAGCATCTGTTCATACTTTGGAAAATATTGGCCAGAGAAAATGTGCAGGAAGAAAAGAAGGGCTCCAGTGAGCCTAAACCACCAACATTCATTGCTAGGTAGATCAAGAAAAAACATAGAAGTTATGTCTGAGTTTTTAGGTTTGTTCTGAGACATCAGAAGATAGCTATGCTCACATATGTGTGTACTTGTGCACACACACTTATAGCTTTAGTGTACTCATTATTTCACGTGCATAGCTATGCACAAATCCAGTGTGATACACATTAAAATGACTGGAACGAAATGTTAATAAGGTTAGTTGTCTTCGGGGAGTGAGGTGAAGGGTTATGCTTACATTCTTTTTTAAGTGTCATTTTTTCTAGACATTCTAAATTACACAGGCATCATTTTAAAAATTATTTTGGGCCATAAATATTAAACAGAATTTGACAAGAGATGAAAAGTTTTAGGGGACCTTTAAAGAAAGAATGTGTGAAAAAAAAAGAAAGATGTGTGAACAAATCTTGTAATATTTCCCTGCGTCTATGTCCAAAATAAATGGCATATGCCAGAGAGAAAAAGAACCCCTTGCCTACTGCTCAGAAAATCTTTAGAGGGCTTTTCAAAAGCATGGAAAAGAGGACCTACTGGACTTGTCGTCTGGATGCAGTGCATCGCCCCTTGGAGAACATCAGAGGAAAACACTAAAACCAGTCATCAGGAGACAGAGCTCCGGGCTGCTGTCCCCCGGGGCAGGCGGAGTCTCTGGTGTAGACACAGCTGCCTGAAGAGCAATCCTGGCCCTGCCGGAGTGGACAGCAGCAGGAGGCAGGGCTGTGTTCCAGGGAACTGGAAGAGGCAGTTGTCCTGGGCACCCGCGGGACCCACGGCAATATTTAGAGGCCCGGCATGCAGGGAGGTGCAGGACACAGCCAAGCAGGCAGCCGTCCCACAGCCTCCCTCAGGTGGGTGTGCCCGCCAGGCAGATGCAAGGAAAGCAGGGGCCACTTTGCTCCCACCTGGGCTTTCACCTAAAGGCCCTTGAAGACGCCTCCAGTAAGCTCTCTTGACCTTTCGGCTGACACCTAGACCCAAAGGGAATGTCCTCCTCCTGAGTAAACATAATCCCAGGGCTCCTGACCTCTATCACCTGCCACATGATAAAAGTAGCACCCAAGGCCCTGCTAAGATGTGAAACAAGGTGACTGTCATACACCAAGAGGACTGGCCCCCTGCCAGCTGTGATTTTACAACCTGCAGAAAGAAAAGCGGAGGAGGAGGAGGAGGAGGAAGACGGGCCTACTGGATATGTGGCATTTGAGGGGCAGAGTGTCGGTTGCACTGGTAAAGTCCTGTCCTCCTCTTGGAATTGGATCCTTCCCCATAGCAGCAGCTGTCTTGAAGGGAGAATGGGAGCCTCTTTGGCCCTCGCCCATGAGGAGGGGTGTGCAAGAGAGCCAGCCTGGATCAAACCCGTGCGCAGAGCGGGCCTCCAGTGGCTCCATGACAGATCTGTACACAGAGCTCAGGGGCAAGCGCTTGAAGCTGAACTAAATGCAGTGTGAGAGTGGGTAAAATGGCCTTCCTGTTTTGAACGTCACAGTTTCAAGCTGTGATGTGACACAAAAAACCTCTGCGAGTGTACACCATGCAGTTGCTTTCCTTCATGGGACTGCATGTGAGGACTGTGAACTGGAATTTGATTTTAAATCACACGGTAAATGCCGAACAATCTTCCAAAGAAGATGCTTTCTTTTAGCACTGTTTATTCTATATTTCTGGATAATCTTAATGGTTCATATAAGTACATAAAGGATACCTCCCCTAACAAAGAGATTTTACTCTGAAAATCTGAAAGCGAAAATATCTGTGCTTGATGACAGGTGGGATAGCTTAGCAATTAAAAGCATGGGCCCTGGAATCTGGGAGACCAGGCTACAATCTCAGCTTGGCGCTGCAACCTGCCTCACCTAACCCTCCACACTCCACGGTCTGGCACCGTAGCTGCAGCACGGGACAGGAGTGATAACAGTGAACAGTACTTAGCAAAGTCCCTGTGAGAGTTCAGTAAGATCACCCGAGGAAAGGTTTAATGCACTGCTAGAAGCAACCTGCCACGTTGTTAGTGGTGATAATGTGTGTTTCTGCATATTGTCTATAAATCCAAGGTTTACATAGTGAGTCTGGTTTTTTACTTATTCTCTGTTCTCACAGGGACAAGAATCCAAGTCAACCTACCAAGAGCTCCTTTCTGAACTTGACGAGCACACAGAAAATAAGCTTGATTTTGAGGACTTTATGGTCTTGCTACTAAGCATCACTGTCATGTCAGATCTACTACAAAATTTATGGAGCGTAAAAAGTATGAATTGAGCAGCTCTCTGCATGCAGTTTGATAAAATAAGGGTAGGACTGTAAGTTACAAAGGGTTTTCCCTCCTATTTGTTGATCGCACATCAAGGATAGCTCTGACTGCTGAGATTCAGACACAGCATGACTCCACAAGTCACACATTCTCTTCAGAAAGGCAAGGCACTCAGAAATGTTTGGGTAACAAGGCCTTGACACCTTACAACATGTACACTGGACACCACTGAGTACTAGGTTGCTTTTTCTGAATCTATAGTAACTTAGAGCAATTTTCTTAGAGACAGAGAGTCGCTCATTCAATCCTTGTTCCCTGGATGACAGTTTGTGAGCAGCTCCTTGGTGACACCATTGAGGACACTGTCACAGGGGCCGGCAGCCCTTCCCTCGGCTGTGCTTACAGAACTCCCGCAGAGGAGGCAGACACGGGACCACTCTTCATCAGCTGCACAGAGAGCATCAGTGCAATCATGGTAAGGGTTACAGGGTGCTGAAAGAGTTTATCTTCTGACTTGAGTTCAAAGTCAGCAAAGCTTTATCAACATTCTGCAAATGGCAAAATCAACAGATGACCAGTGGTTGCTATGGATATGGGTGGGAAATGAGCTTGTCCACAAATAGGCACAGGGGACTTGCCAGGGGCAGAAACGTCCTTTCTTGGCTGTCGTGGCAGTTACACCACTGTCTGCATTTGTCAGGCTCTTTAAACTTACATTAAACAGGGCAAGTTTGTGTGACTGTCGATTATGAAACATATGTAAGTAAAGCTGACATTAAAGATAAGCCCCAATATCCTTGCAGCCTGATCATGTCTTAACCAACATGGTGCCAGTTGTATCTCAAAGATTCACGTCCCTCTGTGGCCACCTCCTGTGTTACTGCCTTTAGGTAAAACACACACGTGCATGTGCATGCACACACGCCACACTGGGCCCTGCCAGGGACTGCAGGCTCCGGAGGCTGCGAGGCAGATGGTGAGAGGCATCCAAGGCTCCCAGTGAGGGCCCCAGGCAGCAACCAGGGCCATGAAGCCCCACTGGCCACGCACTTGCATGTGGCCTTCCTGCACGGGTTGTGCAGAGGGCTCAAAGCCCCCAGTGTCCTGCAGCAAGAACAGAGGTCCTGAGGGTCTAAGGGGTGGTTTGGAGTCACCCAGGTAATGAGTGGAGTAAGCACCCAGGGCCTCGAGGGAAGGAGGAAGGTGGTAACAAGTTGGGGGAGGAGCCACACTTCACTTCCCTCCCTTTCAGCCAGTGATGCTGTGCTCTGCGCCCAGCCCATCACCTCCCATTTATCCCTTATCATACATCTGCCACGCCACAGGCGGGGCCTCGAGACAGGCGAAGTAGAGTCTGTCTCTGCCCTCTGGGAGTTACTACGGTGCAGCGTGCGTGTAAAGGTGGTGGCTTTGCACTGTCCCAGTTCCTGTTTCCCGCACACTGGCAAAGTGATGTCTCTCCACTCCCCGGCTTGTGACATCCGAGCAGAAGAGCCGAGCCACTTCCAGGCCGGAGCACTAAGGACTGGGGCCCACGCCACCACCCTGTTTCCCCGGGGTGCTGCTCCGCACCTGGGCCCTGAGGGAGGCCAATTTGGAGCAGATCCCCAGCGCACACAGCGGTACCTCGGAACTCATCCCTAAATGGTTCCCGGGAGGCTTAAGGGGTCCTGACAAAGGTGAGCACCAAACGAGCTACTCTGGCTGGGGAGGATGGAATTGGGAGGAAATGACACCCACAAGTTCTAGCTCAGCCAGCAAGTACAAGAAACAGTGAGTGCTAGGACAGCGTTTGCATACCAAAATGCATTAGTACCAAACTCAGTGAGTCTGGAAGCAGTGGAGTCACAAAGTATGATGATGGACATGTCAAATAAGAGAGGAATAAATAACCCTTGCTGTTCTGAGTCATTCACTTTAAATTACTGTGTCTTTCCAAGTCCTTCTCTTGTTTTCCCTTTCTTCCCAGCCTAATACCTGGGGTTCACACACATGTACAAAGAAAGCCTCTCCCAAAGGGACACCAGCTTGTAATAACTGGGTGTGGGGAGGAGTCATTTCGCCCAGAAGTGTTCCGGATCCAGAAACACCCCACTCCTCGGCGCTGCCTTTCCACCCTCAGTCCAGCAGCACGGGCCGTGGAGCCTAGGACCCACACTTTACCTTCCATCATCACTTTAACAGGAGGTCAGTGTGCTTAGCGGAAGCATTTAAACTCAGTTATTCAATAAAGAAAAGTAGGTTGAAGAAAATTACATATGTCCATATCTCCAAGTCTTCCTGCCATACGCTGATTGTCTAGAATCAGGTAGAAAAGGAGAGGAGAGGAAAGTTCCATATTCTCCTTCTTTCCTTCCTTCTTGTAATGCGAGGATGATCTTATGTCGGCCACAGTTGTAGGGGCTTAGCAAACAGGACACCCACCCCACAACCCTGTGAAGTAGGTATTATTATTATCACTGCCATCTCACAGATGAGGAAACAGAAGCACAAAGGATTTGGTTTTTCCCGAAGTCACACAAGGAGCAGGTTTGAGAGTTCTCTGCCCTCAAGGGTGACATTAATTTTGTCTTAATATTAGATCTCATTGTGAGCAATAATATTATAAGTTGACAAAAATAGCAGGCACATTTCAGGCACTGTGCAAGAGATAGCAGTGCCAGCTGGGCCCAGAGAGCCATTTGGCATTCCTCAAATAGAACTCTGTGGGCCGTCCTCCCTCGAAGCCCTTTGTATCTCAGTCACAAGTCGCTGAAAATGGCAACTGTGGTGACCAATGGAAAGGTCACAGTCACACCTTGCAGAGAAGGAGCGAGGCAGCCAGCCAATGGTGTGAGGAAGAATCTTGGAGCCGTTCCCACCCTCTGGCCTCCCAGGAAGAACCTTCAAAAATCTGCCCCAGATGGAAAGTCACGCTCCTGAGGCGGGTGTGGATTATAGAATCTATTTTAGCCCGATGGGAAGAATGGAAACCGCTGAGGCACACGCACACGTTGACACGTCAGTGACAGATGAGGCAAGGGGAAGGATGCAAAGGCTCAGGTGCACAGAAGTGCTACTCCTTGGACCTAGTCCCGGGACCACGAAGTCTACTCTGCCGGAAAAGGTGCCACACCGAAGACACCCTCATCAGCACAGGTGAGACTGCGGTGCCTCACGTTTGTAAACAAGGTGCAGCACTATAACAGAATGAAGGGCAGAGTGCACATACTGTCCTGGAAACTGTGATAGCAAAACCCAAGTTTCGCGCTCAGTCTTTTTCTTTTCTTTTTTATAAATTGCATTTGCGCAAGCTAATTAAGTGGAAGAGTGGGTTAGATCGAGGCGTATTCACGCATGTGCACAACATACTTTATTTTCACATCCGCTCACCTCTTCCGCTTTCCCCTCCTCGTTCCTTTCTGTTCCCTAGCAGTCTCCTGAATATTTTGCTGTCATCTCTTTTTTTCTTCCTGGAGTCCACATAGGAGACAAAACATGATGTTTGACTTTCTGAATCTGGTTTATCTGCTAATGTCCCATTTCATCCATTTTCCTGCAAACAGCAACGCCTTCACTCTTCTGTACTCCTGGTGGGGATGCAAATTAGTATAGCCGCTGTGGAAATCAGGATGTTCCTCAGAAAGTGAAAAACAGTGCTCCCATTTGCACCAGCTACCCCACTCCCCAGTGTACTCCTGAACAAATTAGCCTCAGCATACTAGAAGGATTCCTATGTACCCATGTTTATTGCTGGATAATTCACAATAGCTAAGCTACAGAACTAGCCTTGGTGCCTGTCCCAGACGAATGGATCGAGAAAATGTGGTATAGAAACAGTGGAATACTCTTCTCTCAGTCTTTCTTAAATGAATTGTCTTCTTGTCTCCACCTCTCTTTGCATGTGGTTGCTATTTTGCATTGTCTTTTTCTACCTCAGTCTCCTGACCAGGTGTATCTACTTCTTCATTCAAGAGCTAAGGACAGAGTCTTGTTTGTAGACTTTACTTTCCTCTGCATGTGCTCAACAAACTTTCGATAGCATCTTAGAGGCCCGACTCCAGTCCTTGGGAGAGAGCACCCGATTGGTTGAGTGTGAGTGGAGATCGCTCTTGATCCTGTGGCCGAGGACACTGGTCAAATCCCAGTGAGCAGGCACAGCGGGAGCCAAGTCCTCAGAGAGGATGGAGGCAGGAAGAGAGAAGCAGGCAAGAAATAATCAATGGCGGAAACTACTCTCTGGAAGAAAATCCATAACTTCCACTAGGAAGTCAGTGTTATTTACTTCTCAGATACAGACCCAGCAAAAAGTGTCTCAGTGGAATAAGTTCATTCATTATTCCAAGTGAAGGCTCTGGTGCATTGTCACTGAACAAAAGACTCTAACATGAGTCTCCCTGGGAAGTGGTCCTGTGATTCATTATGGCCAAGATATTCTTATGCAAGAGCTGTGACACCCTTGCAATTTGCTGAGCACGACAGAAACATACCCAATCCTAGAACCCCTAATTTTCTTTATTTTAGCATCTGACGATGGGTCCAACTAGGAAAGCAGTATCTGGGCTTTAAATAGTCTTTTGTGAGAAAAGTGGGAGGTGGCTGGAAGCCAGTCATGGGAGTCCTGGTCATCAGTGGCCTGTGGTGTAGGCAGAGCGGAGAGCTGTTGGGAGACCAGGCCAGCCCACCCCACGGACCAGGGCAGACAGCACCCCAGAGATGCATTGCGTCTGTCTTCCTTTCCGCAATTTCAGTCCAAGATATGTGGTGGATCCAGATTTTCCTCTGATCCTTTCGTGGGTAAAATTTTCAAATAATCAAGTCCAGGAGGCAGCATAGCAATTAAGCGGAGTTTTGACATGATTTATTGTTATTCCAGTTAAAAAAAAAGCAACCAACACTTTCCTCGAGGAACACCCTGCACTCCTGTTACACTCTACACCCTGTAACAAGTTTTCAAAACTTGGCCCACAACTTCAAATCACAAGCGCTGTGACCGCTCGGAACTTTGTCATACTTGTTTGGTGACAAAACCTGAGCTGTGACCCATGAGCAGCTGTGTCCCCAGCTTGGCGTGCATCTTTGGTGTGTGTGGTGCAGAGCTTTGTGCACCTGGGCAAGAGGGCAGGCAGAGGAGGGTGGGACTCAGTCTCAAGCCCGCCACCACCCGCTGTGTGGCCTGGAGAGTGCCCCTCATCGTCTGAGCGAGCCTCACAGTTTTCAAATATAAATTTGGATTGAGAAAGGGGCCTCTTTTCTTCAAAAAGTTGCTGTCATACTTCAAGAGGCAATTTCCCTATTGTTAGCAAATTTTTCAGGTGACACGTTTAATACCGCACCTTTATGACCATCTACTGCACTCACGGTCTTTGACTTAATTCCCAGCACAGCTTCAGGAAACTGGTGCTATCGTCTCTGTCTCACTAGGGAGAGTGCAAGTGAGGGTGGCTGGGTGGCCTCCCTGGGCCTACAGGGTGTTAGTGACGGAGCCCAGCCCTGCAGCCCAGCGCTGCTTCATGCCCCAAGCTCGCCTCTTCCCATGATGCCGCGGGAGGATGAGGGACAGCTATTGTTTAAGGTTCGTACCTAACGATGCCCAGGGATCCTGTGAAACCAGGAGGAGAGGAAGAAGAAGCAGGATTTCAGGTGCTCAAGCCCCAAAGAAATCAGGAAAAGTTTTTTTAAAAATGCAAATTTAACTTGTTTCCCTCGCCTCTCTGTGTCATTTAATTTGGCTTTCTAGGGATATGGTCCTTTGAGAGAAGGCAATGGAATTTTATCTCTGTGTGGCCAGGCCCTGGTTTTCCTTAGAGAAAGT